ACCAAAAATAGCGCGCACGAGTTATTCACATTAGGAATAATCGCAGAGGTCAACTCAGCCGAGGTGCAATGGCCAAGTCTCACTCCGGAGGAACCGCCTTCGTGATCACGGTTAACCTCTACGCCAGGTAAGTATGCTTTCCTTACCTCTTGGTTAAGGATTCCTTGAGGAAAGTGCCAGAAGCTGTTGGGAATTATAGGGAGAGTTTGAGAAAGAATTCAACCAAAAAGTATGCAATATTGGCATGACCGGACTTCCTTCCCTGTAATTTGCTTTAAAGTCTTTAATCCCGAGTACAGGACTCACGCGCTATCTGCTCCCGGGCGAAGCCAACACTCCTGGGAGATTTGTGGGCTTCCCGCTGCGACAGCCACCGCCCCCGTCTTAGAAGGAGGCGTGACCGCTCAGCTGGAAATCAGCGCAACTCGCATTTATATTTATTTCAATTTTATGACTTCATGTTAGCCGAAACCTAGCCACAAACGAAATGAAACTCAAATATGTACACAAAGTTTCAATGTGGTCGGGTGTGGGAGATTGTGATTGTGGTGCCCGGGAAGCAATGTGTAAATCCAGCGCAGAGATTAGAACATTTTGCGCGGCAACATCAGAGAGAATTATGCCGCTCACAGTGGGTGGCTTAGGCGGGGGGCGTGGCGGCTTTACACCCGCAAGGACATCGTCCTGTCTCGTTCTATCTGCCCATTTCGGTGGTGGTTTCATACGGGAACCACAGATCCCGATCCCCCAAACTGGAAACTCCGTTCTGAGCATTTGTATTCACTTAATACCTTAGTCCTTCTCGGCAATAACAACAGCAACAATAACAACAACAACTGCAGCAACAGGAGGCACGAAGGGAATCGCTTCTTCAGCGGCACGCTTGAGCTAATTTAATCGCTGCAAATTGCTCGACAATCTGCCCGGCATTAGAAATGCTCCACACACGTGAAAATCAAGCACCCCCACGGCTATGGGATAGATGGTATACCAAACATATATATATGGTATATGTTTGAGTGGTGTATTATGAGGGGGGTTGAGTGAAAGTGGCTGCTGGTGTGAATTAGATTACATTGCCATGGCAGCGGACCCAAAAAAAGGAAGTTATTGCCCGACTGTGGACTGCAAACAAGCGATAAGCTTGTCCGAAAATGCACTTTTCCATTGTAGAGAGCAAATTTGATAAACATAAATTTGTTGGTAATTTGATATATTTTCAAAGCAAATGGTGTATTTTTCTGTGGCGTTTTGAATAGAAGTATTTAACAAGTTTCGTTCTTTGAAAAATATCATGTTTTTTTTTTAATTTAATAAAATTCTTTAAAATATCTTTTTAAAATTCCTGTTGATGAGGGGATTATTATTGATTATTATTATTAATTAAAACCCACTTCACAGATTAATTAGAAGTATTAAAATACATCTTGCTTTTACTGTGCATTTATCTTACTGTCTGCTGAATTTTAATCCTAATTCCCCCATCCCATGTCATGTTCAATGCGCAATGACTTTTGAAAGTGGAAAAGGGAAGGGAAGTGGAATGATGTAAGCTCCACATTGCACAACCAAATCAGTTTGATATTTTCGCTGCTATGGCTTTGGTCTGTCGATGTTCGTGGCTGCCCCACTGCACCGCCACCGCCACCGCCCACAGCGGACAATTGGAATTCAATGAGCCGCACCACCGCCGCCGCTCCGACTGCCAACTTCAATGGGCCAGCGGAAAGTTACCAAAATGGCTGGGCAAAAGTGCAGGCCAACGAGGTTTAATTGGCCGCCCCATGTCCCATATGTGGGATTATAAAGATCCCCATCGAAACGGGCCAAACGGCGAATCGCATATGAATTTGGCTGCGTGGGCAGATGACTCTTCACTTCATAGGCAAAATGGAATAGATACCGAGTTTGTGGTTTCAGGTATGACAGGCATAATTGGATGCGTTTTAAGATTTCTACATTCTCTATTTTCCTGCCAATTTTAGTAACTTCTGGAACTAATAAGGTATAATCATTCGGAGCCGGATCTTGTCTATAAGCTAGTGTGAGCCCAAAGCTGACGTTAAGTGGAATTTAACGATGTGCTCAAGTCCCACGACACTTTGAATAAATGCTCGTTTTGTTGAAAGTATTAACCACAATGGCTTTAAAATTGATTGTACATATTTTGCTTCCCATAGCCTGACATCATTATCAACCGGATGTTTATAGGTACATTTTGAACAGACCGTTTATAAAATAAAGACTGATATATTAATTAATGTCTCGATTTACAATATTCCCAGAGAAGACCAAAATTAGTATGTCACATTTTAATCAAAATAATGGTATATTTTAAACCTTTTGAGTGATTAAATTACAAACATGATTAAATTTAAAGACCTCTTTATCTGACATAATGTATAATTTGCTGATCCAATTTAATATATTTGCTTTGGTGATTATTTTGTTAAATACGTGCTTTAGGCTTCAAAAAACCCACTGCATTGTTCGATTCTCCTCCGTCAACCCACTAACCCAGCTTCCTGTACTTTAACAATCGACTGCATTTTGCACGCATCCAACGTCTGTTCAAAAACTTGTTTTTGTTATTTTTATGATTATTTTTTACACATATACATATGTGCGTATGTAGTTAGTGGTAACTGGAATAGCATGCGTAAGTCAAGACACGCACTTTTAAAGACCGCTCGATTGCAACGATGGCGACACACTTTCGTTTTTCAACAGGCCGACTTAATTTACATTGACGGCAAGTCAAGCGTTCCATTGGTTTTCCAGTTGAGTTCAACCGCCTGCATTTCGCATCATTTTTATTTTCATTTTTATTTTTTTTGGTTCATTTTTGTGAGCTGGAACTCGGTTACGTAAGACGTAAGTGTGAGACTGGGGCGACAAGATTGCTGCCGACTCACTTCTGTTTGTGTGTTACTTTTGGGCCAAGTCGGTTTGTATCTGGGAACCGTGCAGGCCAAGTACAAAGCTCCTCGGTCTGTCAACCGGTTTCCATATTACACCATTCTCTGCCCGATTTTTTGGCAGTACCTCTCTGGGCCGAGATATGAATGATTTAGTTCGCTTGCGGTTCATTGGCCCCTCTAATGCCTTATCGCCATGTTTTGCATAATGCGAAGAGTAATTTTTGGCAATAAATTAGAATTTCCTTGGCCGGCGACAGTTGGCTGAATTTATAAGCAAATGTCAAGCGAGCCAAATGAATCGTAAGGAAAGCTGTCCATTAGTCAGTAAGATAAAACCGAAGAGCAGAAATTTAAATTGATTCGAGGTTGGGTGGAAGAAATCTCGCGGTAATTGGTAGTTTCAACTCACAATGGGTTATTTCAAAGGCACTTTTCTGGTAGCACCTTTTATGCTTATTCTCCTCTATCTAAACTGCGTTCCCACATTCAAATTGGTAGTAAGTAGTACCTGGGTTTCTATCTTTACCTCTTTTGCGTGACCAACGCCGGTTCATTGAACCCCACTGACATTGCGTCACTGCCCAGTGAAGCTCGCTCCACCTAATTATGGCAATTAAGTAGTCAAAGCCAAAGTTTATAAAAACTAATATGCAAAACAATGAGAATGCTTTGATTTAAAGTCCATCATTTACATAATTTATTCACACGATTATAAACTGAGAAGAAGACAACACAATTCGAGTGAAGAGCTTGAAAAGTATGCCTACACACAAAAAAATTTGCTTGGTAAAATTGACCAACAAAGATAGTTACGTAACTATTAAAATAGTCACGTGTATTTTGTTCTTGCTTTGGGTTTGTGTCTTTGCTAATTGTGTGTATTTTGTTGTTGTGAAATGACTATTTACTTAGTAGAATTGACAATTTTGCTGGTTGGGGCCTGTTTGACAATTATTACAGTTGATTTTACCAAGTTTTTTTTTTGTGTGTATGAATTTTGGTTAAGATTTTTATACATTTGGAATGTAAGAAATGGCATCTATGATCTTGAGTGTGACGATTTTTGGCCTAAATTGAGAAAGCGTGCAATGTGTCGTGTATATGCTAGAAATTAATTATCTTGAACGGCGATAATTACTGCAGTTTCAGTCTATATGCACTGAAAATCGACTGACACAAATTTATCTCTTGGATATTTAGGAAGAAAATCTTTTATTTACAAGTAATTAACCAATTCCTTTCAATCTTCTAGGAAACAAAAATAAAAGGAATAAGAGAAGTTTAACTATTGCTAAGTACCTTACAAAACCTTTTGTTTGAATTTAATTACAGGTCTCGTGATAGGTGCTAATAGTTTGTACAGGCATTTGTTTTTCAGCTATGTATAAGTTAGGGTTTTAATGGCAGCTTAAAAAACTCATGAGGTATGAAAATGACGCATCAATTTATTCAATCATTATGTTTTTGGTTGAAAAGTCGTTAAATATACATCATAGCCCAAAGCTCTAATGATTAACATTCAGCCGTTTTATTGAGTTCGCACTCGCCGAGCCTCAATTGCGATTGAGCAACGTTCGAGTTTTTTGAAGTCCCGTGAAAAAAGGGTACTCGAATTAATTGAGGTTTCGGCAAAGTATTCACTCTTAACCAAGTTGCCTAAGGCCAAATCCGTCATACTTGTGGCATGGCGTTGGCATTTATTGAGCCATCTGATTGACTTGCAGACAAACCACAAGATGGCAATGTTGTCAGCATTCTTAACCGAAGGCAGCAGCAAAAAAAAAAGTGAAAGTATCTGGCACGCAGCCTTATCAATAAATTGCACAATACTCGCACACAATTTTACACAATTTTGAGCAGCAAAATAGGTCTTTATTTAAAATCAACCAGTATTGAAAACTCTTTAAATTTAATTAATTTGTTCTACTTTTTTCCAGAGTTAATAATTTTAAAAATTTAATTTTGATATATATCCGTTTTTAATAATGTCCCCTATTACTTTGACCGCTGCTGTCTGGTGGCACCCACACAGATGCACGAAGGACGCCCACAGGACACACCGATGGAGCATTCACTCACCTTGACAGACGCGGCATTGCAGGAGTGCTGCAACAGCGGCAACAACTGCGAACTGCGACCATGTGATGATGGCTAATCCTCGTGCAGTCGATGTCCTCGATGTCCTGGATGATGCCTTTGTTGCTGCTGTTGGGGCTTCAGCTTGTCCCTGACGACGCGTTTTCCACGAGGTGGTTTCCCTGACCAACCTGCTCGCTTTCCTCCACATTTTCGGCTGGGCGTTTGAAACAAAAGGCGGAATCAAAGCAGCTCCTGATTTCTCCTCTCTCTTTGGATTTTCCGGGTGGTAGTGGTATGTTGGTATGTTGGTTCCCGGGAGCCTGCGCTTGCGTGCGTGGGTGAAAATGAAAATGCCCGGATTCCGGGGACAGGTGCTTCCGGCGGGGGGCGGGGCTCAGGTGGGCGTTCAGAATTCCGCGCTTTGATTCTGTTTCAGATTATGTTCTCTTAATTTTTGGTGGGCTTCCTTAAAGTCGGCAACAACTTGACCAAAAAGTTTTGTATTCCGCAGTCCTTGTAGAAATCCTTATTTCGAGGTCTCAAACTCCTCCATATACACACATGCCTTCAGTACATTTTCATCTATCTGTATGCACTGCGTTTTGGTTGGTTATTTATTTCGTGGTTAATTTGTATGATTTAACTTGTAACTTTAAGTTGCATAACATTTATCTCTTTGTATTTCCAATAATAAAATTTATGCTTAACTCACTTATGAATTTCTTATAGAAATTTCTCTAATTTATTGCACAATTTTCACATTAACAATTATTGTAGTTGGTTTAAACGCGATTTACTTGGAGTAAATCTATTCGTTTGGTTTTAATTGATTGCGTTAAATAAACGATGTAAAAATAAACGAAAATGTTTTATTTCGGGCTAGGCCCATTCTGGTTTTTACGGTTTTTTATTTCGCGCACTATTTGATTTATTTTTACATGGAGGGAAAACGTGAATTAGTAAATTAATAGTTATTTCTGATAACAGGTTTTGGTGCAGTTTGCGGATTTTGTTAATTATTCGGTTTGGTGCATCCTTTTTTTGTTGTGCAGTTTTTTTCAGCGCCAAAGTGGAGGAAAGTGATGCGGGAAAAAAGCGTTACGCGCGTCAGGGCGAATCTGATTGGAGCTTCAGACTTAGTGTGACCGCAGCTGGAGCGAGGCAATTGGACATCGGTGTGGCTGCACTGGGCCCACGCAAGATACCGTTAAGCGCTGCAAAATATACCGAAAAAACATTTTAGTTGGGGAAATATACCGCTAAACAGAGGCGTTTTGCAGAAGGGGTTTGGAGGTGTTTACATATTTCATTTACTAAATATATCCGAAAAACAAAACTATAGAAAGAAAAACAAGTTCTAAAACAAAGAACATTTTTTAAGAATATAAATTGTTTTTAATATCTGAAGAAACTAATAAAATGTGAAAAAATAATTGCCCGTTTTTCTCTTCTATTAATTACAAACTTATTGGCGATTTTTAAAATAACAAAATCATAAAAATTTAATTAATAACCCAACTTCGGTATACATTTTAATTTCTAAATTCGATTTGGCTTCCAAAGCCAGCCGCCCAGGTGGCGCCCTCAGTGACCGTTACATTTAAAATTTTCACGCTTAAGCCGGAATCATGAACCTTTTGTTTCTTTTTATTTATTTGTTGCTCCCAAACTGTCTTTGTCGCAACCGCAGAGGCCACAAAAACATGACAGAACGCAAGGGAAAACAAGCAATGCAAATGACTTCACAACTGCATGGAAAAACTGACGTCTGTGTGCGGTTTCGTTGTGCCAACTTAAAACATTTGCATTTGCGGTCTAGGCTTTTTGCTTCTCCAGCCACAAAATAATCCTTTCAGTTTCCGTTTGTGAGGGCTCGTGTATATTTTATTCAACTGCCGCAACGGGGCAAAGATTTCATTGTTGTCCTAATTTAATTTTTCAGTTTTATCAGAGAATGCAGTAAGATAGGAATTAAAAAGTATGTGAGCCGATAGCCTTGGGAAAAAAGGATATAGAGTAGTTGGAGGTGCTGATGGAAGGATTAAGTGGAGAGGGGGCCGGTGGCCGTGACTGCACATCCGGCAAAATAGAAAAAAACTTTTACTATAAGTGCGTAAACAGTGTATTTCTTCCACGAAGGGGAAGCTGGAGAGTTAAGGGGACATAAATCGGAAGCTGAAATGGAATGCCGAGTTCTGCGCATGCCCTTGTTAAATTTCGTATTGACTTGAGGAATCCAAGTAATTATTTGAAAAGCCGTTATAGTTCCCAAGCCTAGCACCAATTGTTGAGCGAAGCATCCAACCAAGGTTTGGTATTTTTTAACATCTCATCACTGACAGTGTCACCATGTAGGGTTGTGAAAATATATAAAAATAACGTATCGATGATATATCCTTTTTTTCGAAAATATTAAATGGATAGGCCTAAAAACAATTTAAGCTCCTGATTATCCTTGTGGACTCCATTAGTTTATCGCATTGCTATCGACCGGTTATGCGCCTCAAAAAATCCTTAATTTGTGTAGTCTTCTTCAAATGGGCTCATCTTGTACTTTTTGCAACTTCGTTTCAGTTCAGTTTAATTTTCGAAATATCAAAAATATATTTTTAAAAATAGCGATATTCAGGGTAAAAATATCACGATATGAATATTTATTTTTATTCGCAAATATCGATACATAAATATTCTCATGCGTTTTGCACATCCCTATCACACTGTCAGAACTGTCACGAACGAAAGAAAAGAACTGTTTCTGCAGACTATTTACATTTACAAAATTATTTGTATCAGATAGTGAGCCGTATACATAACGAGGTGTAGCAGACGATGCACTGATGTAAAGGCGCAGTGCCAGAGAAACTTTTTGGCGTGTTCCCCGCGTGGAACTGCATTTTTTTTTGTTTCCTTTCCTCAGTTTTGTGTGTTAGGTGTGTGAGCGAGAGGGCGAGCGAGTGAGGAGTGGAGCGGAGCGGTAAGTACCGACGGCCAGACAGAGACAGAGAGAGAGCGCAAAAACGGCAAACGGCGTACGGCAAAAAAACAACAACCAACGCCTCGCCTTTTGCAGGAAAAGCCCCGGAAAAACCGAAAGGCTGAAAAAGTTGAAAAACTAAATATCGAAAACCCTTTGCCAGCAACCTCAAAATACGAAATACCCGACCATTTTCCATTCTCAATCTGGGGCTGAGGCTGCTCAGCTGGATGACAGGAGAGGGAAGAGGAAAACAGGAAAAGGAAAATCGTAGCAGGCGCTGCTCGGGAATTCGTAGAAATCGAATCAAATTGTAATTTCTTGTAAATGCAAAATTCAAGCATACGTTTTATCTTTCTCCGACGCCCAATTACAGAACAAATTACCGTGAAATTTTAGCACTAGCCGTACGTTATTTTGTATATTTTTGTACGTATGTACGTGTACGTGCTCCTCGTCCGTCTGCACAAATGTGGATGTGCATGTGCATCGTAGAGCTCGCGAATTTTTATACATGGAATATCTGAGCCATCGGCGTATTCCGGATTCAGCTAACCACCACGACGACGAGGACGAGTGTCTGCGGGGAGAAGGAAATCGTATAGAAAGCAAGGAGTAGGAGGAGGAGGCGTAGGATCACTCAGATCCCCCAAGGATCTCAACGTAACCACCACCACCACTGCCTTTTGGGGCAGCGGACTTAGCATCAGGATACACCGCATACCACTAGGATCCACACATCTGCCAGTCGAGTGGAGTCCCCAGGGACAACAGCAGCACAGGAAGCGGTAAGTCATCCACTGGATCCTCTCATTCGCATCCAAAATCTACTGTTTATTGTAAATAATTCGCCTTAGTTATTGGTTTCTTAGTTTAGTGCACACACACCACTTTACCCAACATCCAATACGAATGCACTCCCAATTAGATCGGCACCCACACATTGGTCCAACTGGTTTTGTTTACAAACAAACGAGAAGCAAGTGAGCCAGGTTTTCGTTTTCCTCGCCATCGAGCAAAAACTCTGCTTGCAGCGGCAGCTTCTTCACTGGCCGGAAAACAGGTTTTCTCCTGTCTTCGAGGTGCTTGGCCTTAAACTGCAGCGGAGTTGGCTTTTCTAGGCCAGCACAGAGCTGCAATGGGCACGCAGTACAGTGAAAACTGGCAGAGAAGGTCTTGAACCTTATTAAAGTCGAAAGAGCTTAAAGGGCCTTCAAAAAATCCTTCAATGTTGTTCCCAACATTTATTTATTTTATATTTAGTAAAGAAAATCTTCGTTTTTTGAAGACTTTAAATACCTAATATTACCCAAGTCATATCAATTACAATGATCTAAAAAAAATACCTAATAAAAAAGAACATATTGAAATGAGCAACGATTTATTCAGTTAAACCCATTGATTTTCAATAAAGTTTTTTTTTTTTGGTAATAAGAACTAGTGTCCTGCATGAGTGTACTTGGAAGTCAATTTTTAAAATCAGTTAACTTGGATCACTTTTTTCATTTTATTTTTTCATAAGGAAAAACAAGTGATTTAATATAAAATAAATAGATATAAAATAGTTTCGAATCACCTAAATAATTTGCTTAGTAATTTTATCACTCCCACTCACTTTTATTCTGTGCTTGTATCACTTGTTTTTTTTTACGAGTGATCAAGTGAAACAAGTGATCCAAGTTAACTCACTTGAACTCACTCACTCTATTTTCAAAAAATTGACTTGTTTGTCAATTCAAGTGTACTCATGCAGGACTCTAATAAGAACTTCAAAGGTACTTATGAATCTTGACTCAATTTCCGAGTAAACACTTTTTTCAAACGATCGTTGCTACTTCTTAAAGACAGGAATGCTTATAGGGCTCCCAAATAATAGTTTAATCTTGTCCCCAACATTTATTTTATTGCAAAGAAAATCTTAGTTTTTTGAAAGTATTAAATATTTAATATTACCCAAGTATTATCAATTATTTAAATATATTCGATCTGAAAAATTTCAAATAAAATAAAATACATTTGTAAGACGATTTATTTACTCAAACCAATTGATTCCCAATAAAGTTTTTCTTTTTGAAATAAGAACCTCAAAGGTACTTATGACTCTTGGCTCAATTTTTCGAGTAAACACTTTTCGCAACCGATCGTTGCTACTTCAGCTACACACAAATGATGATGCAATTGTCATATTCTTATCAATCAGCATTGTGCCTAGTTTAATGAAATCTGCTTAACAAAACAACAAAGAAATACTATCGTAAACACTATCAAGTGATCCAGTTCTGGCTGTCTCCACTGTGGCGAGGAAAGTGCTGACGGAATGCCAAACTGGTTGTGGCCAAAACAGACGACAGCATGCCATCGCTCTCCTCCCACGCCCGCTGGCTGCTGCCTCTTTGTGTTGTTGCTCCGCTTTGAGGCCAGGCACTGACTAATAGCGCCACTTGTTACCGTGTGTCACCCATCCGCTAGTAGTCGGTCTCAAAAAGTGACTAGTCCATTGATAAAACCGCCGATAAGGTGGCGAACCATCTTCGAAAGCATTTTGGATGTATACACGCCCCGCGAGTGACATCATACTCCAAGTTCCAATTAAAGAGCTCAATTAAGTGAGCAACTTGTAGAAAAAAAGGGGCTGAAATAGGGAGTGCATTCGTGTAGTCTAAAGTATATAGTCATAAGATCCTAAACATGCTGCTTTTTTGGTTGCTTCCTCACCCATTCGATTCAATAACTCATCTGCATGCATTCCACCGCTTTTGTCTAATACGCCAAGCATTTCCCACATCGCCATCACCATTTTCACTTCCATTTCCATCTTACTAACATTACAATTTGTACATCTGTTCTGTTCCGGCCGCGGTTTTCTTAACTCTCCGTGTGTGCGTGTGATCGTGCGATTGAGTGCGTGTGCAGATCCTCCGAAGGTCCTCCTATGTACCCACAACAGGGAGGGGGTGGGAAGGGAACCAGGCCACAGTCGACACATCAGCAGAATCACAACCACCAAGCCCAGCACCACCAGGCGGCGCACTCGCATCACCATCACCTCCAGCCGCATCAGCAACAGCAGCAGCAACAACAGACAGCTCAGCAGCAGCAACAGCAGCAGCAACCCCACGCGCTGTTCGTTCCGAACCACGGCGGTCTGCACCACCACCAGCAGCAGCAGTTACTGCAACAGCAGCAGCAGCAAATCCAACAACACATCCAACAGCAGCAGCAGCAGCAGGCGCAGCAGCAGCAACAACAGCAGCAGGTGCAAGCCCATCCGCCGGTCATCTTTTACAACACCCAGCCAACCTATCCCGCCCACTCGGCGGCGGTCAGCAACAATGCCAACGGCGGCGGCGGCGCTGCTCTCCAACTGAGCGCCGCCGCCAACAACAACAATCCCCTGGGACAACATCCCCACAATGTGGGCCATGTTGCAGCCAATGGAGTGGCGCCCAGCGCCAATTTAACCCGTGCCCTGAGCAATCCTACTTTACCGCCCCATTATCAGCAGTCAGCTGGCCTGATCGCTCCCGCCGGCGGAAATGCAGCCGCTCCGGCCACCTACATCTCCACGGCCTATATACCTTTTAATCAGACGGGACAACTGATGGGCATGCAGTCGGCTGTGCCCTTTCCCACGAACGGAACGGCTGGAACTCCGGCTGCGGCTTACTATGCAGCGGCGCCACCTCCGCAGCAGCAGCAGCAGAAGCAGCTGGCGCCAAATGGCCAGCAGCAGGGACCTGGCGGAGCAGCGGGAGCTGGTCAAACGCAGGCGATTACCTTTTACCAACTGGGCCACGCGGCACAGAACGCGGCTGGGAGCAACGTGGTTAGCGGTGGCAACTCGCATCGCGGCAACATCCGCGGTGGCCAGAGACCTGCGGCCGCCGCCCAGCCGCATCCCAATTACTTCACCACTTACGCTGTTGCGCCGGGAAATGCACCACGTCCTGCTCCCGCATCGGTGGCTCCCATGATGAACTCGAGGAATGGCGCTTTGAACGGGGCGGCTGCCTATCATCTGCCCAACTTTATGGCTTTGGGACCGCCGGCAGGAATGACTGCGGCTCCCATGCTGGCTCCAGCTGGAATGCCCGCTCCGCCTCCTCAAGCGCCAGGTGGATTGCACACCTACCAGCCGCACTTGCAAAGCAGCAGCGCCACCACTTTGCCCAGTGTGCCGAGTGTGGCTGGAGTGCCGGCTGTGGCCAGTGGTTTCTCAACCACTTCTTTGCCCACTCCGCCTGTGGCGGCCGCCCAACCACTGGGCGGCAATAACGACAAGATCAGCAAGCGCAAATACGCCATTCCCATCATCCATCCGGACACCAAGGAGAATGTGATGGATCCGAAGAGCTCGGTGTTTATTAAGAAGGACTCGAACTCCACGCTAACTCCGAATTCGGATAGTACCATGTGCCTCTTTCAGGCGCCCATCCTTATGGACTCGGCCTCGGCGTCGTCGCTTCTGTCGGGCGCCATAGTGGATCAGCATATGCAGACTGTGAAGTCGGCGACTTCGCTTAGTCAGTCTGGTTCCTTGGAAAAGGAGCCGCCGGGTATGGTGTTTGGTGAGGAACCTGTGGGAGGTCAGGAAGTGCTCCCATCCCCTCCACCGGGAGCCACGGATAAGGATCAGATTAGCGTCATTGTCAAGGACATACTGGCCCACTCGGGCAACACCGATGAGCATCTAAGCTTCTGGCAGTACAGTGACGGTGAGTTTTTAATTTTGCGTATATTATATAATATATTTGCATCAGAATACATATAAGTTTCAAAAGAACCATCCCAGCAACCTGTTTTTATCACAATCTTATAAACAATCTGTTGAAAATTTACTTCAAAATTTAAACGTATACGAAAATAGTGTTGTAACAAAGACAAAAACAGTTTGAAAGTGTAAACAAGACAATTCAATTATAAATTCATACCTGGGTATGTAAGGCATTCGGCCAGCCGAATTTGTCCCTGCTTTTAGTGCACAAGTCTAACAATTCCCCTTGCAGTGGACAATGCAACGGAAACCCACGATAGCCTACAGCTGGTTCACTCGGATTTGAATTTTCCCGAAGTCATTGACGCCGGTCAGCAGCCCGTTTTGTTCCAGGAGCAGGCCAAAAAGCAGCGTCCCAAATCGGCCAATAAGCAAAGTGAGTGGGGGAAATAGTAAAATGATTTACATAGACTAATCTCTCTCTTCTCAGGCACAGCAACGCCCACGTCCATTGCGAATGACGTAGCCGAGGCAGCGGCCAGCTGTTGCCCAGGGATCTCCATCCTGTCCAGAAGCCAGCCGATGCTGACACCAGCCAGACCCTCGACACCACCGCCAGCTTCCCGTGTCGCCCAGCAGAAGCCAACCAAGTCGATAGCGACCACAGCTGTTCCAGGTTCGGGTTCACCCAATAGGATATCGAACGTTCCGCCCGCCACCTCGACCACGACCAGCTCGGGGGCCTCCTCGTCGGCTGCCTCCACACCGACCCACGCATCTAGGCAGCAGCTGCAGCAACAGGCAGTGAATAGCAAGCTGCCTCCAGGAAGACACTCAACTGCAGCACAACCACCGGCTGCCTCACGCATCTCAGCCGCCGTTTCCCTGCTCGCCGGCACATCCACTCTCACCACTATCAATCCAACCAGAAAGCAACGAAAGGCCCAAAAGCGGGCCAAGGAGCTGGAGAAGAAGAAACAAAAGTCCTCGATAACAAGCACCACCACAAGCAGCCAGGGGCAGAACAACAATGGCAATGGCAAGGGCAATGGCAACGGCGGGCCAGAGATCAACACAAACAACAACAATGCTGCCAAAGTGACCGCAACATCAACAACAACCACACTGACAACAACCACGGCAACAGCAGCAGCAACAACCAAACAAGGAGCGACGGCTGTCGATGAGACAAAGGCGACTGCGCAACCGACGACTGATAAGCTTAGTGCAACTAGTAATAATCCTAACGTAAGTTCTACTCTAAGAGACCCCATGCTCAATCCCCTGGAGCAGTTTTCGAGCAACAACAACAATGATGAGGACGACAATGACATCGACGCGGAGGCAGACAGCGATCCTGAATGTGAGTAGTAATATAAGATTTTATATCCTTTGAATGGGATTACTTATAATTACTTTAATAAATATTATCTTCCCCAGCTGACAGCAAAGAGGACAGCACGACGAATATTCCCGCAGGAAAGTCAGAGAAGCATTTAGCCAACGAGGAGATTGTGGCCAAATTCTTGCAAAAGGCCAGCCCCAACACATCCGCCGCCGCTTCGGAGACACAACAGCTACAGTTCCTTAACAGCAGCAGCTCGGTTTGCGAGGAAGATGAGCCAGTTCCTCCGGCAGGAGCTGGAGGCGTGGTCAAGGCCGAGGAGAATACTGAAGTGGAAATCAAGTTTGGGGATTTCCATGAGGAGCCGCGTCACGACACAGGTTTCATATGCAGCTCCACATGGTCAAGTTCGACGATCAGCAAGGCAGCGGAGGATGACTCCTCGCAAAGCAGCAAGAGTACTGATAATGTGGATTGTGCTCCCAAGATAAATGCACCGCTTGCTGGGGAAAAGAACGCAGGAAGCAAGAAGACTTCGCCACAACATCAGGCCAAAGGACCCGGATCACCCAAAGCCAAGTCGAAGAGTCCAACTCCGAGCCCCAGTCCCGCTCCCCAGGTGCCCAAAAACTATCGCTACAGCATCGAAACGCTGCGTGAGCTTTCCAAGCGCAGCGACTCGCTGAAGCCACCGATGGTTCCCTGCCAGAAGGGCGACTGCATCTCCCAGCTGTTCGTCTCCCGCCAGCAGCAACCGCAGCAGCATCTCGGTCACGTTCACGGCCAGCACATCCAGCAGTACCAGCATATGAGCTTCAACGAATCGATGGACTATGTGCCCGGCAAGCGTGGACGTGGCCACGGACCCAATAAGAAGCACCACGATGGACATATGCAGATGGGAGGTTCCGGCGGCATGGGCAACATGGGAGGTGGCGGAGGAGTAAACAACTCGAATCAACGCCATATGGACATCATCCGGGTGCAGCTCTCGCTTAAGGAGGAGATCAAGCTGTCTGAGTGCGAGAACGCCTGGCAGCCAGGCACACTGCGTCGCGTATCCATGGCCGGTGGTCAGGATGATGAGGACGATGTGGAGGGAGTCCTGAAGAAGGTGCGCGGTATTCTCAACAAACTCACGCCCGACAACTTTGAGGTGCTGCTCAAGGAAATGTCTAGTATTAAAATGGACAATGAAGCCAAAATGACCAACGTAAGTTGACTGCTTTATTTATTATTATTACAACTAAAATAATATTCTTTTCAGGTCATGTTGCTGATCTTTGAGAAGACCATTAGTGAGCCGAACTTTGCGCCCACCTATGCCCGTTTCTGCAAGGTGCTGTTTCACGAGATCAAGGCAGAAAACAAGTCGCTTTTCACCAGCTCTCTGATAACGCGGATTCAGCACGAGTTCGAGTCGAATGTGAACGATGCAAACGCGAAGGCCAAGAAACTGCAGCCCACCATGGATCGCATTAGCCAGTGCTCGGATGCGGCAAGAAAAGCTGAGCTGCGCGCCGAAATGGAGGACCTGGAGTACCAGTTCCGACGTCGTGCCTGGGGCACTGTTCGCTTCATCGGCGAGCTCTTCAAGCTGCAGTCGCTGACCAGCGACCGAGTGCTCAACTGCGTGGAGTCGCTGCTCGAGCACGGCTGCGAGGAGAAGCTGGAGTACATGTGCAAGCTGCTGACCACCGTGGGCCATCTACTGGAGGCCAGCCAACCGGAGCAGTACCAGCTAAGGGATCGCATTGAGAAGATATTCCGCCGCATCCAGGACATTATAAACCGATCACGAGGAACGTCGCACCGCGGGCAGGTGCACATCAAGATCAGCAGTCGGGTGCGCTTCATGATGCAGGATGTGCTCGATTTGAGGTTGCGCCACTGGGATCAGCCAGTCACCGCCCAACAGTCGGGACAGCAGGGCGGTCGCGGACAGCAGCGGCACAAGCAGCACGACGATGCCAAGGATCAGTCGCACCACCAGAGTAGTGGACGAGGTAGTGGCGGTGGAATGAACCAGCATCAGCACCAGCAATCGATGCATCAACACCAGCAAAAGCATCACCATCAGCATGGTCACGACGGCGGCAACTACTTTATGCAGAAGATGCCCAACAAGCAGCATCACGAGAACCAGACTGTGAGCATTGATCCCAGCAAGCTGCGTTTCAGCAGCAGCAGCGTCAACGACGATTCCATTGCCAAATTGGGCAACTCTTCGCATTACCAGTGGCGCAATGCGGGCAACCGTCCGGTCAGCTCGACGCCAGTGAACACGTCCAATGCTCCGCCGCCCACATCGCTGCTGAAACGGCCTGGCCAAAACTACAGATTTTCACCGTATCAGCAGCCGCCGCCGCCATTGGCCACACCCATCACGACTGCCGGTGGTAACAGCAGGAGCCATGTGGACCAATCGCCAGATGCTGCTTTTGATAGCAAGAAGTGCCAGGAACTTATTACCAAGCTGGTCGAGGAGGCACTCAACACGCGCGACTGGCAACCGGAGGTGCTGTCGATTTGGCGTTCACACAGCGGCTCGCAGCAATCGAAAACTCTGCACTATCTGCTGATGGAATACCTGCACAAGTCGACGGTGAAGCGCCAACAGCGTCAGGCCTGCGCCAGTGTCTTTGCCTACCTAATGGACAAGGAGGCCGTGGACAAGGAGATCTTTGGACAGGCGTACTCTCGTTTCGGCGACGACTTCCCCGATCTGCTGGTGGACGTGCCGAACGGATGGGGTTATGTGTTCGAGTTCCTGGGTCCCATTATTCACTCGGGCCAACTAGACCTCAAGGATGTTTGGCAGCGGCGCTGGCTGGACGACTTGCTCTGCACGGAGCGCTTTGTGTACGCCTTCGTTAGCTATTTTGTGCAGGAGTTCGGAGCCGCCTATGCCCGCAAGCTGTGGCACAACGATTACAAGCTGGATCGCGGGCAGATGTTCTGGAACGATGCTCGCAAGTACAGAGAGTTTGTGCAGTCGCACAGCTTTTACTTTCTGGACAACAATCCTGGCCAGAATCAGGGACATACCAAGGCGAGGGCACCCACCACGCCAAGGTCGCCGGTGGAGCACGTGGAGCGGATTAGATACCTGCTCGCCCTGTCCTGCGACATGGCCATCGACTACATCAACACGAACGTGGCCATCAATGACAACTTTGTGAGGCAGCTCACTAGATTCCTGTGCTGTGATTTCGCGCTGACTGTGATGACAAAAGGCGGTGGCAACGCCAGGCCGCTGCAGCTGAACACGGAGAGCTTTCGCAGCCGGTGTACGCCGCTGCTGCGACTCTGCATCGACGCCCAGGAGGCGCTGGAGATCGCTTGCATAGACGAAGCGGTGGACTCGCTGCAGCAGCACTTTATGGCCGAGTTCGAGGACGATATGGCCGCCGGTGAGACCATCTGCAGTACGTTCAGCGTGCTGTACGAGAGCGAAGTGATCCCCAAAGAGTCGTTTGACAAGTGGTATAAGCTAGAGATCGCGCACTCGTCGGCCTACCGACGACCCTTAATCGACAAGCTGCGCGGCTTCATCGAGGAGATGTAATACCAACCAGCAGTAACCCAACCAAACACCACAACGAAGTAAACTAACAACCATCAACTGAAGCATACAGCAACATCGTTTGAAACCCATCCTCAGACTAGGCGCGGTCGTAGGTGTCCAGTCAAGAACATAACTCAAACGATCAGTCTTAAATTTTGCTTGTGAATCTTGCAACCCACAGTGGGTGACATATGCCAGGTGTCGCCCTAACATAACACATATTTGTTGTACGATTGTAGATCTGTCATAACGAGTATTCCACACACACTTATATGTTGTACGATGAATAGATCTGTCAAAACGAAAATTCTTTGTTTTTCAACACAGATTCCTTTGAAAAAAAAAACCTTCAAGACACATTATCCATTTCATTTGTATCACAACACGTTCCTTAAAAGAAAGCTAAGATGATTCCCTTTCGATGACTTGGTCATAATTCAACACAAAGATAAAAATATTTACACATTACTCGTATCCAAAAAATAAAAAAAAAAACCAACAAAAAAATTGAAAAACTATGTATAACAGAATCTCGGATGTCGAAAAATATTTTCAAGATTTCAAATTCGGACAATGCGTTACCCAATTAAAGCTGGGTATATAAATATATTTATGTATATTAACACATGGACTATTCACTTTCGTAAACCCACAGTATTTCGTTAATCGTTAAAATTAAAGCGGACATCATTTATAGAACTAGCTGCGTAGCCTAGCATACTTTTCTAGACTTATAACGAATTTTTGTTTATTTTACCTTTCAGTACAAAGCTTTATGAATTCGTTTTGTTTGTTAATTTGATTAATTTAAACGATTACCAACATTAATTTATGTATTTTCAATGCAAACGGCTCAAAACATATACGAAAATTAACCCCTCTTCCTAACAGGTCTGTATTTCCAATCTCAATTCTGAGGCTTCTTGTTCGACTCAGAAATTTCACGTATATTAAACAAATATATATAAATAATTTATAAAAACTATACGTACGTATACTAAAAAAATGTAAATTATAAAAATCGTAAAGACATGTAAAGTATTTAGCACACAAAGCATGATTATCCAAAGATAAATCTTAAAATTAGCTGTAAAAAGGAAAGAAAAAATACACTAATATTAATTTCGAAAATATATTAAACACATTATATAGCTATTTAAACCAAATTAAAAAAAAAAAATTAAAAATCTAATCAAGCCTAGAAGCATACACAACCGATAACGAGAGAAAAAAGCAAAAACAAAGAGCTCTAAGCCGCCTTTACTTAGTTATTTTTATAAAATTGAACGAAACAAAAAACGAACTAAATTGAAAAACAAAAAGAACTCAATCTCAAAAATTTATATATAATATTTAAAGCGAGGCAACTAACACAAGTAGCGAAAAAAAGAGTTGTACTAAACTCGAGAATTTTGTGTATAAACTTTAGGTTTTTTTATTTTTACACTACAAGTGACAAAATATGAAATTGATTTACGGCAAAAGCAAAGGAAATTGTACGCATAAGTAATTAGCAAAAGAAACACAAGAAAACCCATAAAAACCGATGGAAAAATACAGTTAAATTAAAATAGTTAAGAATTGACAAAAGAAAAAAAAACCAAGCAAAGAAGGCAAATGAAACGCTTCTGCACTAACAAGCAAATATTTCTAAAGCCAAGCTAAACCATTTATAAGCTTAAATCGAGCAGTGGGCGTGGCACTTTAACTAGTTTCGTAGCAATTTTCGGCAGGCATTCCAAATGCTTTCGGCCAACTTCTGGTATAAATTTAACCAAGGCAAACTGGTGTCCTGCATTTTTAGCAGTCGAAGCAGAAGATTGAGGAGAGCAAACAGCAGAATCCGAGCGAATGTGTAACACCACACCCAGCAGAAGCACACACATGTGGCACCCAGGGCAAAATAGGGAGACAAGAAAAGGGCGGGGGCAAGGCAAGATTAAACAGAAATCAAGAAGAAATTGTAAACAGCAAATAATAAAATCGAAAAGTAAAACTCCAAGGCGTTTCAATGTGGGCCCCATTCCTAAGGAAAAATTCGTCACCCTCAAGGCATGCAGCACACACACTTCCATCCAAACGCATTACAATGTACCCCCATCACTCCCGAATCGCATTCACCATACCCAAAACAAAACATACAAAACACTCATCATTTGGTGATGGCAGCATTAAGTCACATTTGCATTGCTTAGCATAAGTGGTTAAGGATTTGGCTTAAGGCTTGTGCGCAGGCGAAACGTAAGTTAAGTTATTTCTATAATCATTGACTAAATATACAAATATTTTCATCCTTTTATCAGGCAATAAAACTTTTTGAAAATGGAGCGACGCGGACGCATTCCGGTGGCCAAGTTTCGTACCCAGGAGGCTAAGACACGCAGCCGAAGTCGCGTGAGGGAGCCGGACTACAATGAGCAGGATCCGGAGCACGATATGTTCACCTTGCTGGAAGATAACATTGCCCTCAGGGAGGAAAACAAAGCTCTAAAACTAGAGATCGAAACACGTATGTTAAAACTTCTAATTTATCTAAGTTTCCTGCTATCCTAATTATCCAAAAAATACCTGCAGATAAAACCACTCAGGAGGAGCAGCAGTCGCAGCACGACAAGGTGTGCGTGGCCCTGGAATCCCTGCAACAGCAGCAGACCACTTTCGAGTCGCAAATCAAGGAGCTGAACTCAAAGTTTAACAAGGCTCTCAACGAACGAAATGCTTTGGACAAGCTGCACAAAATGAAGGTCGATCAGATACACAAGTAAGTTCAAAGATAGCATAAAAGAAGAGATCAAGCTCTTATACTTTTCCATTTGTAGTCTCACCAGCGAACTGGAGCATATTCGCGAGAAACAGCAGGATCAGGTGCCTCAAATAAATCCCCGCTTGGTTCTCGGATCCGTAGAACTTAAGCGAAAGCTCTTCAAGATTCTGCAAACGGGCAGCACGGACAGCGCTGACAGTATCGGCACTCAAGAGCTCGACAGTCTGGTCGATGTCAACTCCGAAGGGGTGCCCATCACCAGCAGCCTTGTGGAGCGTCTGGCCGATGAGTTCCTGACTCTTAAAAATCTGACTAGTGCCGTGGAGCTTCAGTTGTACGAGGCCAACGAAAAGATGGCCGAGCTGTTGGAGCAGGTAAGATGAGTTGATGGAAAATTGACAATAGCACTGAGTATTATAATATTCAGATTGTAATAAAATCTTTCTAGATTAATAGATTAAATACTTTTTTTGAAACCCGTTATAAAAATAATTTTTTCCAAATAAGATTACTTTACAAGTCTTAAAAATACGAACATTCTAATGGCCGTTTTCTCGTCCTTTTGTAAAATTTAAAGTAGGGTTAAAACAACGATTTCCCATACGATATTAAACAAACGGGCGAGAAAACGGCCCTAAACGTTCTGATTCGGTCAGTTATTTGTATAAATTTAAATAGTAATTTTTGTAAATTCGTGATAAAAATGTTTTAATAGAAAATGGCAGTACACATCATTGAGCCCGCTTTTGTGGTAAATAGATATCTCAATTAAGTGACCGATGACTATGAGTTTAACCTTAACTTAAATCTATTCAAATAATCACTCTTATTTATTATCAATTCTTTCATTCCTAATATAGCAACACGCAATGGAGGAGGAGAACGAAGCGCTGCGTACGGAAAACACCAACTTAACCAAAGTGGCCAAGTTGCTGACCGAAAACATGAAGGAGAGTGTGGAAACTAGCCAAAAGTAAGCCTAATATTTATTGTAAAAATGTACGAGTTTAACTAACTGAATTTTACAACAGAATGGAGGCCGCTCTTATCAAGTTGAAGCAACGTAACGATGAGCTCACAGCGAAGACACGCGATCTGACCGATGGGCAGCCGGGATCCAGGAGCAGCACCTCGTCCAGCGTGCTGAACGAGCAGGTGGAGTTCGAGCAGATCCAGGACCAGGTGCAGCAGCAGGCCAGGGAGCACAACGAGCGCATTGTGGAAATGGTTAGTCCCGAGTTCTTGTCACTCTTCGATTTTGCACTTGGTCTATGGTCTATCTATCAAACTTTCTGTTCTGTCCATCTGTCAATCCATTAGCAAACACGCAGCGTGTTTGACCTTTTCAAGCCGTTCTCGAATATCTTCAAGAGCAGCTGAACGACAACAAGATCAGCTGGCGAAGGCGATTCCCTATAATACGATCTGAGAAATGCATGGAATGTGCCCAGCTGGGCATGTTGTTGTTCGCGATAACTTGGTGATGGGTCTCCTTCTCCTCCACCACCAAACTACCAACTGAGACACGTAAGCAACTCGCTTGCCGTGCGCCGTGCTATCTCCCCCCGCTCACTATTCCCCTGGCTTTCGATGCACTAACACCTGACCCCCGAAATGCTTTGATAGATCCACTAATTTTCTCAACCCAACCCGCTCTCTTCCTGCTCGCCCGCCCCGTTCTACCCTTGTTCTTGTTTCTTGCATTTGTAGCAAAATCTAATGGATGCGGCTATAGCCAAAACTACTAACGATGAACTAAAAAAATTACAACTTAAGTTGGAGATACTCGAGGAGCAGCTGCGCGAGGCAGTGACGCGGGCTGATCATGCCGAGGAGCAATTGGCGCGCTACCAGCAGTCCGAGCAAAAGGCACTAGCTGCTGCTCCTCCACCTCCGCCGCCGCCTCCGCCTCCAAAACTGTTTCCTTCCGGAGGATTGGTGGCAGCTGGTGGCAGCTTGAGTGACCGCATTGCCGGACTTAGCTTGCGCAAGGGCAGCGGCGACAAGATCATCGAGAATGTGAAGCATCAGGTACAGGCCGAGGCAGCAACAGGTATGTAATCCAAACTCCTTTCCAGCTGGGAATATATGTGTGTGTCAGTGGGTTGGGTTCAAGTGTCAGTGCCACATTGATGACCCCAAAACACGTTGCCTTTCCTCTGCCCTTGGTCATCTTTTTATTGGATTTTTATTCCGACTTTAGGGACCTTTCATAAGGGCTTGAAATTTAATAAAGTTTCAGAGCTGCTCGCCAGCAACTTTTGACCATTGTTGGAAATATCTGCTCTCAAGGAGCTCGAGTGGCAGATGAACTGCTTGGACTGGACCCTTGGGTATGAGAAACTATGCGCAAGTTGAATAGACTTTGAAATACTTGGCCCCCGAATCGATTGGAGGAGATTAGTTTGCCAGTGCATTCATTGTCTGTGCGAAATCGGGAAATTGGCCTGAAAGAAGCTGTCAGCAGGAGGTTTTCCCACTCATGTTAGCAGCCATGTGTCTGCGGCTAATCCCCAACAGACGTGCGTTGACAAGTGCCTGCCATTGTCGCCGTGTCCTGGTTGATCTGGTTGAAGGGCCCAACTTGTTGCTGTCAATTGTCAGTTACGCCCACGCCACTCATCCTTCTGCCGGGTGGCTCCTCCTCCTCCTCCTCTCCTTACACACGCAACACAGCTACCCAACCCGTCTGCGATTGTAATTGATTTTACCTACACGTCGGCTTCTTTTACGGCTCAATGCAGGCTTTCACTGGCTGGCTTTCCGCCTGCTCCACCTCCTCCACCCCTTTTCCATCCCCTGTTTTCTGCTCTGCTGCAGCAGCAACTTCTTAATTAAGTTTGCGAGCAGCTTTTTGAAAGGGTCAGGGGATAGAGGGAGTGGTTAGTGATGCCCTGGACAGATATGGAATCAATAGGTTGCTATATATTTCTGAGTAAAAATAATATTTATAAATAAAATATTTTTAAAATTTGAAAATCCCTTGTGAAGGTTTTACAAAAGCTCTAATTAGATGTCACACTTTCTATAACAACATCATTGTTGTTAATCAATTCAATTGACTTTCGAATACTAGATTTTGTCATGCCTTCAGTCCGAGTTAAAAGCCAGTGGAAACTTAATTAGGTTTGAAATTTTACACCGCTCAAACGATGGATTTACTGATTGCTTGACATAATTTCATAATACATATGTTTGTAAGTATACATATATAGCACGACGCCGAGGTGTTTACTTTGCCGTTGCACTTGTGGGCCATCTTTGCCGTTTAATTTTCGCTCTTAGAACGATGAAACAATTGTGGAGAATTCCCGGGGTGAACGAATCTATTTCGATAGGAGGAATATTAAATTCGAGATGTACACACACAGCAATACTTTAAAGCCAGTTGTGAATAGAGAAATCCTCCGCCTGCACATGATAAGCTCAATGAAAATGAAATCAACTCATACGCCCGCATCATATTGTAAATAAATTCCTTTGTGCTTGTGTGTGCAGCAAGGCAGGAAATGCATGATTACATTATATAAACCCTTGGCAAATATGTATCTACGTATTTATGGAATATTGATCCAAGTTCGCTGGTCCACAGCTACAGGTTATGACAATTAGGTGATTTATCTTGCGACTCTATTCCTAGTGAATGAATGTAATCCTCACTTACTTGGGGTAAAAACTTCGCATCAAGCCAGCAATGTCAGGGCCATGCTTTCCTCACAATCCCAGTCCACATCCCACACTTTCACTGACACTGCACACTGTCACTAAGCACTTCCGTTTTGTTTTGGCTCTGGTTTCTGGTTTCACTGCTTCTGTTGCCCACTTTTTGGCGCGCACCACGAGTCGTATGCGTAACGAGCGCACATTCAAATCAAAATCAATCAACGCGCTTATTGTTGGAAGCCAGAAAAACGCAGCCACGAATGTGACGATATGGCATACGGATATATATAAATATATATAGAAATATTCAGATATATATGCGGATATATGGACCTCCCGAGCGGAGTGGAGCGGAGAACGCGCGCGCGTCTCTTGAGGCACGTGAAGCGTTTGAGCTGCCAGCCAGCCGTACATCAGCTTTACGGCTAGGCATCAGCCAATGCTCGTGCCCCGGTCGCACTCGTCAAGTCAGGCTCGTCGTCCTGCTCGGCGGGGAGGCAAAAACAAATGAAGCGCTCCACACCGGAACGAAGTGAGGCGAGGCGAATGGAAATGCTGATATTGTCCAAGCCAGGCTGTGTCGTGTGTATACATAACAACAAGTTGCTGCCATTGTTGGTGTGCCATGGCTGCCATGGCCACCAGATACCTGCTACCATCTACCAGCTTCACTTTCTACGGGAGACCGACCTCCATGACCTGCCCTGTTGCCGAATCTACGGGCTTAAACGAATTGTCTTTGGGTATGGGAGTGCGGGGTGCGGAAATTCCAGCACACATTTGTCAATATCCTGGCCAACACTAAAGCTCTCTGCGTCTCTGAGTGCCATTTCCGGTTTCATGCGATACATTGAAAACTTAAATTTGATTTAAGTTTCGCCCGTGCCGTGCCGAGGTACCGGAGAACTGGAGCAAAGGGCCTTTGCCTGGCTTCCGTGCCCCGGCTACTCGGCAGGGAAACCCTGAATCGCCTGAATTTTGGCTTTAAGCGAAGCTCTCGCATTTTTCCTATATATTTTACGCTTGCCTTGCACAGCTTTATGTCGGCTCCTGGTTTCCCCTTCCCTTTCCAAACTGTCAAGCCCGGGGCCGTATCAAATTCGACGACGATGATGACGATGGCGGAGAGGACGCAATTTATTATTTTTACGAGAAGGGGCCAAGCCATAGAGAGCCGTCCCAGAACCGCAGGCCGCATTGTTGTTGCTGGTCGGCCGTCCATGGCTTATTATTATTATTTGTGCGTTTTATATTTCCGTGTTTTATTGCGCCACTTTTCCTGGTCCTGCCAGTCCTGGTAGTCCTGCCACCCCCACTGAAAACACACACACACATCTTGAACAGTAGATTTCCATTGACTTGTCCCATGGTCCAGCTTCATTTGTCGACGGTGACAGTTGCTGAGTGCTCGACATGGTGCTCGCATCAACCCGTTTTGGCCTTGTCCGTGATTTATGTCCAATTGCCACCTACCAAACACCCTTTAAAGTCGCAGGCTTACTTGATTACTTACGGTGAGTATTGCCTGCTTTTGGGGACACGGTTTCGTCACCTCTTTCCTCTAACAGCTCTAACCGCATGTTCGTTAAGCTTTAGTAGCGACTTATTGTAAAGCCTAGGTCTCATGGCACTTCACCCTTTTTGTTCCAGGTCTTGACGCTCTGATGCGCGAGTTCAAGTCGGGAGGCGTGACCCTGCGGAGGCGCAATCGCCGCAAGACGGGCACCAGCGAGGCCCTCAAGGAGATGTTCCAAGTACTAGAGATAAGTCAGAAGCAGAACCGCAACTCCAAGATATGCGTGGACCTGCACTCGGCCCGCGGAGTTGACCTTTAATCCCGTTCCTGCCATCCTTCTCACCCACTCTCTTACACTTTGGTCTCAAATCTCAGGACCCAGCTGTCCCTGAACAACAAACATTCCGTGCATTTTCAAACCGTATTATTGTGTGCCTTTCAAGGAGGAAACCGAAGCCATTTTACAATTTACTAATCTTAAGCCCCACTTTTGGGATGAATTTGCTTCATACAAAGCTGATTTACCTAACCTAATATTCACTTGACAATATTAATTTATAACTAACATTTATCCGACCTGGTTAATGTGTTCATTTTAACAGGTTTCGCGTTCTACTAATCAACGACACCCCCAAAAATATCTTGAATAAACTTTTTTAACCAAATATAATTTATTGGAGTTTTCTTTGTTTTCTAAGAAAATAATTCCCATAATTTCCCAATGAGTGACGAAATCATAATTTTTACATGCTTAATTGTATTTTATTATTGCTTAATCTTTGGCCGATACACAGATCGAAAATTACACAGAATCCATTTAAAAACAAAATTAAACAATGATGTTGTCTAAAATTAAATATTTAAACTCAGGTTCGTTAAAATAATTGTGTCGTATGGTTTCAGTGCTAGTATTTCATATATAATATTTATATAAGCTTAACGAATAAATCTCAACATTTATTTTCTCTACATTATGGCTATACTGAATCGTTAAAAAACAGTGTAAATAGTTATGCGTTCTTCAAAAAATGTTTAAAATTGCAGCATACAAGTTTTCGTTTCACATTAGTATTTCGTAATTGACTTGTTAGTAAATTTGTGCTAAAACCATTTTGCTTGTTCGTAAAATCGAATAAATGGTCGTTGGTTCGTGTATGTTAATTGCTATTGCATATAGACTGTGGCACTTGTTTGCATAAGAGACGTACAAAGTTCTTCGAATTGCTGATTTAAGCTTACATCTATTCGTAGATATCTAAAGTACAACAGACATGTGTACATACAACATTAATTGGTACTTGTGGAAGACAAGCAGTTGGGTTTGTTTGTTGGAAACAAATTACACGATAAAACCTTAACTAAACGAAAATGACATGTTCAACATAATATCATTTAGACGTAATCAAACACTTAAACATAGTAATCGGAAATCTGAATGTTACAGGCTAATGCGATCGTTTGTTAAGACACTTGATTTGGTAGGCGGTCGATAGGTTGAGGCAAAGGTCGTTGCTGTTTTTGTGGCTGCGGCTACGGGCTCGTTGGCCAGCTACGCAAGTAGTAACAGGAATATTTGGCACTCGACAACGTTTGAACATTTATGGCGCTGCACTGGAAGCTTTTGGGCTGCCCTATGGAATGTGTTTGCTGTGGCGCGATGGCTTCGGTGGCGGCGTCGGCGGACGCGGCTTGTTTCCATCGACGGCACCCACCAAACTGAAGTTCGTGGTCTCCAAATACTCGTACGTGGTGTTGGTAATACTGGTCTTCGTCAGGGTCGAGGTGGTGCTCATGCTGCTGCTGCTGGTGTTGCTAATTGTGCTGAGCATCGCATAGCCATTCGGCGTCCAATCCAAGTTCTGCGACAGGCTCGTGAAATCCGTGGAGTCGCGTGCTTTGGCTGGCAGCGGTGGTGGCCGAATGTCCTCCTCCGATGTAGAATCTGTAGTTTCTAAGGGGGAAATTAAATATATTTTAATAATAAGTTGAAATTTATTTATTTAGAGTCCAAACTTACCAACAGAGTTGCGATTGCTGCTCTCGGACAGCGAGCGCGTGTCGGGGAAATTCTTAATGGTGGCCGTTGGCGTGGCAATGCTGGCAGGACGAGAGAGTCGACGTTCCTTTTCCATTTCCGAACGCAGAGGTCGCTTGGGTGTAAGCTATTGTTTAGGGATTAGGGATTAGACAACGGAATCACTATTAGTTTTATCCAAACTCACCTCCTCTGTGAGAACATGTGGATCCGGCGTCTTGGGACCACTCAGAGAACTATTAGATGTACTGGCTAGCGAAGCTATGGATGTGTTGATCTCCTTCTCCGGCGTCGATGTTATGGTGGACAGCGGAGGTGTATACCACTGGCTGCTGGACAGGCTATGCGCTTCCCGCTCCTGTGGGTTAAAGTACTTTTTAGTAAGGTTTCGATGTAAAATTATGTGCTACTGCTTACCTTAACCTTTCCATCCTTATTTCGCCGCTTGCTGGGAGTCTTGTCCTTGCTCTTGTTGCTCTTGATGCTCGGTGAGTGTCCCAAACTGGGTCTGCAGATGTTGGCATAGGCAAAGTAAGCGATGATGATAAGCAACAGAACGCAATTAATTAAACAAAACGAAAGAAAAATGCAATTTAGAAATCAACCAAAATCAAAATAATGTTAGAGTCTCAAACTAAATGCCAGCAGTTAGTGTGGAGGAAGAGTTAGAAAAGTTTTGGTTAGCAAGAGCATTCCAAACGACTCGGGATTATTAACTCAGCTCACCTAGTGTTGAAACCTAAGCCGGAGAATGGGTTCTTAATGGAATTGGTCTGTGGACGCGGCAGAAATGTTGACTTCGACAGGCCGCTACTGCAAGGGGAAATAAAATTAGCATAAGATGGCATTATAAACAGAAAGCTATTGTGACTTACTCTGAGGATCCCATGCTGGTTTCCGAGTGCCGATTGTTGCTGCCATCGAAGAGAGGAGGCAGGAAAAAGTTCGGCCTCCGCATGACTACCGAATCTCGCTCAATTTTCAGGTCACAGGACTTGCGACCGTATCGCAACTCCACGTGCTGCTGCATGTCGGCGAAGCAGCCTTCCAGGTGCTCCTGCAGCGCTTTCAGGCTGTCCGGAGCACGCATACGGTGGAGCTGAATAGCTGGAAAGGATACAAAATTTAATGGTTATTAATTCTTCCAACCTTTAACCTGCTACTCTACAACTTACCTATCTCCAGCAGCGGAATCTGATGGGCAATCAGTTCCTTGAGCTCCTCCACCAACTCCTTGTCGTCCGGATTCTGCTCTAGATAATCCTCGGTTAGGAAGGCCTCCTCGTACTTGGCAAAGCCACCCATCACAGCCGGATCCACAATGCCATTGAGTTTCATGCTCAGCGGGTTGATGTGCAGACTCTCGTCACTCTTGTGCAGAATCACCAGCTGCCTAATGTCCCGATTCGTGTCCTTCATGATTTCCACCGCTCGCTCCAGCGGAGAGATCTTGAATGTGTTTGTTTCGATGACGGGGAACCAGCGCAGGATGCCCGGCAGGGGGAAACGGATGAGCAGCTCGGTGCGCTCCAGCCACAGATTCCGAACATCGTCCCTGTCGCCGCCATTAATACTGTCCCGGAACGGACGCGAAAACTGGAACTTCTGCACATTGTTGGCGGCGAAATACTTGACGATTTCGTTGTTGATGATCTTATCGTTGAACTTGCTGAACGCCTGACCCATGATCGGCTCCACCTTGTTCACCTGGATGAACTGCCCGTCGCTGTTGGTGATCTCCTCGCCCGGCGCCTCCAGCGTTTGCATGAGTTCAGCCTGTGGATGCTGCACTAGCATGCGGGCGCAGAAATCACTGTGCCGCTCGTACTCCTTGCCACGAAAGATGTAAACGCGATTCTGGAGAAAACGCGGGAATCCCCGGCCATAGAAGCACACGCGGAAATACTCCGAGTTGTGCCGCAGCTCCTTGATGATCTTCTCGTAGAACAAAGCCATGCGATTGAGAAGCTCGGCCAGCTTCAGGTAGTCGAAGATCTCCTCCTCGTACTGGCGGGCCAGCACCCGGCACATATCAATGGCGCACTCCCACTGTTTTCCCTTGTCGAAGTACTCCATGATCTCAAAGTACAGAGCCTCCTTTAGTTGGCGGTGGGTGCGGCAGTGGCTGTGCTTGTAGCTGCGCAGCTGGTGCGACAGCTCCGTGTCCGTCCAGCGCAACAGCTCCGTGTGCAGCTTCAAAGTAAAAGCAGCCTCCGTGTAGTTCTCGAACTCCATGTGCAGGGCGCAGAGTTTGTACACATACCGTATGTACATCTCCTTGAGGTCCACCTCCGAGTAGAACTGCAGCAGCGAGAAGGTGCAGGCCATGCGATTCTCCTTGCTCTCGTCTTGGATAATAAAGCGGTATTCCAACAGCTTGTCCATCAGCCGCGTGACCATCTGCACAAAGGCGGTGCCATCCACATTTAGGGTGTTGTGCGCAGCACATCGCTCCAGCATGATGGTCTCGAACAGAACCTTGTACTCGGCATCGCCTTTGCCCGCTCCAATCAGGATGTCCAGCTTCTCGATCATCGCCGTCTTGAAGTCCGAAAAGTTACCCTTGTAGTGGGCGTTATTGAACTTGGTGTCGCCATAGCTTTCCTGCTCCAGCCGCGAGCTGTAGTACTCGCACTGCATCATGTCGAAGAAGATGGGGATCGTCTCCTGGCGCAGCTCCTTCTCCGGAATCATGCTCATCTCCAGTATGGGCTCCACCAGCTGCGGCACGAACTTGGGCTTGTGCTGCCCCAGCTGGAACCACATCTTCCGGATCTCCATGGCCGTGTCCTTGCGAATGTCGCGATACCGGGCGAACACTATTTGCCGCTTATTGTCGTTGAAGTCGTTCAACTGCAGGGGGGATTGCACCAGAAAGGCGATGGAGCACTGAAAGAAATTCGACCAGATCTGCTTCTCAAAGGGACACAAAAAGTAGTCCGTGATCACCACGGACAGGTGCTTCAGGGCGCCCAAGATCACGGTGTTCTGGTGCATTATCATGTCCATCCAATCGCGCGGGAAAACGGCCTTCTGGTGCGGCGACACCAGCTCCTCGAAAACCAGCAGGATCTCGACGACAAAGTGCTTCAGCTCCCCGCGCTGATGCAGGTCCTTCACAAAGTACTCGTAGTGATGGGCGTCCATGCGCTGCAGGATTCCCAGCATGATGGCAAAGAACTTGCCCACCAATCCCGTGTCCCTGTCCAAAGCGTGGGCCGCCTTCATCACGGTGCGGAACAGGATGATCATAATGTCCCGAATGTCGTTGTGCGTGGCGCCCACGTCCGACCGAAACAGAAGTTTCAGTATGTTGTTCATAATGTTGATGCACTCGGCAATCTAACAATGAAATGGTATATGTTAAAAATGGTCTTAATGGGGATGAAGGGAGGATTATTTGGGGGATTGATAAGCCGTGTTATTATTTTCAATCCAAGTTTTAAATACTTTTAGTGACTTTTCATAATTAATTTGATGCTTAGGATTGAAAACGCAAACAGGACTTGGGGTTTAAATCTACAAGTTTCGAGCGCTCTCTTTTTGGCTCTTCTTATTTTCTGACTGAACTTCAAGGGAAAACGTTAACGTTAGTGTTTAATTTAATTAAAATTAACATAAAAACGTTGCAGGTTTAAAAAAAACACGAAACCATTTAACATTGCATTGCAAAAAGCTGAAACAACTTAAGCCTAACTTAGCGGGCGTCGATGGCGGGAAAACTTGGGAGCAGAGGAAAACTTTTTCACAATTTCCCCGCCATCGATAGCTTGAAGCTTGGAAAGCCTTTTTAGCTGCAAGCTTAACGGCAGAACAAAAAGATCTTAGGCGGTAAATGATAAAAATACATAACATTTGAAAGGGGTAACAAATCAAGGATTGGTTGATGCTGATCACAGGGTCTGGAGGACCTGGAGCTGACCTGACTGAGACTTCGGGATGAGAGACTTAGTTCCTTTACCTTTTTGTTGGCAGTCGTATCACATGTGTGCAGTTGGGATTTTTTCTGTCCGAGCACTTTAGCGGCTTTCGAAAGATTCTTTTCTTGCTGCCAGATATCGGTTTTCGAGTCTCCCTAGTGTTTTGTACAAGGCAATTGCGGTGGCAACGACAGAGAAACGATAACAACACATAGGTTGGGTTGTGCGTGAATAAAGATTCGATTTTTGATTTTTGATTTTTGGAATATTATACGAAAAACATTTAATGATAATGATAATGGAATTAGAATGGAGAAGACAAGTACAGACAGATAGATAGAGCTGAATAATTAGGTGCCGGTGAGGAGAGATCACACATTCATATTTGGGTGGGTGTGTTTCGGTGTTTCAGTGTGCGTTTGAGGTGTGTTTACTGTTCCCAGGTGGTTGATGTGGTTGGTATTGTGCTTGGATGAGCTGCCAAATGCAAATTGCTTTCTAACTATGACGATGACGGTGAGCGGGTGCAGTACTAATGGCCAAACTAAACACGTCGGTGGAATGTTTACATAACATTTACATGAGTTCGCTACGCCCCATGGTAGATATAAAAGTAGTCTCGCTATGGACACACACAGGAAGATCGCTAACTAACACGGAGCTAACGTGGACAAATCATGGCTAGATCACTACAGTCGATTACATGGTGCTTAACACTAGGACGTGGACAAAACATTTATCTAAATCTAGGACACAAGACACAAAACAGTTGGCAACAATTCAACTGAATTCGCCAATTCACATGCTAAACATTTGTATAAAAGAAAGCGAATGCAACATGCTTAACACTAACTAAACATAGCTTGCAAAGATTAGACTCTTAACTAGTTACTAAATAAATCGAACTGGAACTGAGCAAAATTAAGACAAGTCACATGTCAAGAAAAAAAAACTCTTTCACGAGGATCGCCGAAGTGTTTAATAACCCAAGGTATTAGGTATGTCATTAATGGAATTGTATTTAATAAATTATTTGTTTATAAGTTCATGTTTTATAAAGCAAGAATGTGAGGAATAATAGTTCGCTTTTAGTTAGTTACTTTTGGGGCTGACTTCACTTGAGCATGTGTTGGGTTATGTTTTAATTTTGCGTCTCGTCGGTGCATTCACAAGACAACTTTCAAGGACGATGCATTGGATTAAGAACAAAATGCAGTTCCCAAATGATAAATTAGTGGCACACGCAATGCTGCTACTGCTCAAGCACTTACCTCTTCCTTGCTGTCGAGGTGATCCTTGATGTGCTTGCAGAACACGGGCAGTAGGATGGCTCGACACTTGGGTAGGGTGAAGAGCTTGGTCTCCACAAAGTCTTTGATGCAGCCCATCTTCGACTGAGTCAGGCGGCGCGGTGGGAATTTCTCAAGGATCTCCACAATGGAAACGCTGTTAGCAGATACAAATTAGGCTATGGAATTGGATGATCTATGTTTTAAACACACCTCAATCGCACTTGATCGAACACCTGCATCAGATCGGTGGCTATGATGTGCAGATTCTTGAGCAGCGCTCCCTCCGACTTGAGCAGATTGCTCGGACAGCCAATCATGTCGATAAACATGCGAAGTAATTCCTGCAGCCGCGTGGCAAAGTCCACATAGTCCGTGTTGCAGTTCATCTCGGCGTAGAGAACCCGCGATCGAATCACAAACTTCATTACGTAGTGAAGGTAACGAGTGGTCTTGTACAAACGCCGCACCTCGACGCTCTCCTCCAGGTCATTGCCATCGGCAGACTTTTCTTTCGGCGTGATTGCATCGCTGATATTCTTTTGCAGCACATCCATCAGTTTGCTAAATATCAAGAAAACCAAATTAATAAAGATTTACCCGCAAAATATATACAACTTACGTATAGGCAAGGGTAAATGAGAAGCTCTCATTGATATACACATCGAGAACAGTGAGAAAGTGTTGGTACTTGAGATCGGACACGGTTTCAATCAAATGTATAATGCTCATGAAGACGAGCTGGTCGTATTTCTCGGGCTGATCATTCTCCACCAGTATGTTGAACAGGGCATCGAGTATGTCCTGCAGGAATTTCACCACCTCCTCGCCGGGCACCGTGGACAGGGCGTTAAGGGACTGTTCCAGCGTCTCCTTGTGGGCGGACCAATTAAGAAGGCCCAGCAAGCTCACTGTAAGTTAACACATTCATTAGATTAATGATTTAACACTTAATATAAAGCTCCTGCTTACCGCTCTGCGTGAGCTTGGTGCTGCACAGGTTGACGCCAATGGAGAGCTGATCCTTCGGCAGGAGAGTGAGTCCGCCGATGGAGGGCTTGGCGCCCTGCAGCTCAGCCACCGTGGCTGGAAGCTCCAGGTAACAATTGGCCACCGTTTTGTCGTACTTCTTGTGGTCCATCTTGTACACAGCGAGTATGTGCTGACCCTGGGTGATGGTCGTGCCGTTAGCCTGCATCAGGCGCACATAAGACAGGGCGAAGGGCTTCTCAGTGCGATCCTTTTGCTCGTTGCTGCTGCGGTGCTTGAGGACGAAACGAAGGTGACACTGCTTAAAGTCCTCGATGGGCACGTGAATCTTGAAGGTCTCCTGCCACTTTGGCTTGTCGTCGTGGTAATAAACCACCGACTTGTACTCGTCAATGGGCTGATGCCCTGCCCCGATGCTCAGCACGCCGGGCATGAGGTATCCCTGCTCGTTGGCCACACACACCGACACCTCCACGTTCTTCTCCGATGTCTTGGCAATGCGCGAAAACTCTCCGCTGCAGATCGTTAGGTACAGATCGTTTCGCACATCGCCGGGGAGAATAACTTCTGGGAATCCCATCTTGCGGGCCACCGGCACATTTGTGTGCATCAGTCGGGGAAATTCCTCCTTAATCTGCTTGATGTCGCCTCGTAGAACCTCGATGGTAACAGCCATCTTGGAGTCTATCTTGCCGATATCCTTGTTGGCTATCAGCTTGCGCAGGGTGCCATCCAGCGTATCCTTCTCGCACATGATGAAGGGCAAGTCGATGTTGCCGCGAAAGTCGTCCGACTTGTTGATGAACGGCGTCAGATCCTTGCAGGCAACTCCGAAGGGTCGCCGGATAATGTATTCCCCATTGCTGCTGGCCGAGCCACTGGAACTCACCGACAACTGGGAAGCCTTGCGAGTCAGCATGCTGTTGGCAATGCTCATGCTGGTCCGCTTGGACTCGGCCGAATCCTTGAACTCCATGGAACCGATGCGGATGGCATAGCAGACGAGGTACATTTTGGCGATGGCCAGATCGCTTTTACTGAGATCCGTGAACAGCACGCGGTTGTTGTCGATCTGGTCAATATCCCGGGCGATTCCCGTTCGCGACCACTTGACCACATAGTTCTCGCTAATCGGCTTGTGCGTCTCTCCATCGAAAAGGGTGAAGAGCAGGTCCGAATCCTCCTGGAACTTGCAAACGAAGGCGTTCACGTGCAGCAGGATGTTGTGCGAGTACTTGTTGGGGGTTCGAGTGGTTCCCCGGTCGCCGGAAAGACGCTGAAGGTTGGATAAACGGAAATAGGATTAATAATTGTGAATACTAGCGAGCTATTTAATTTACTAAATACACTCCACGTGAATCATTGCTGTTTCAAACCTTCTTATCGAGTGAATAGTGTACAATTTAATGTGACACATTTGCTGCATTAAATTCTTGATAGGAGGGAAACCCTCTGTTTCGAGAAATTCTCTAGTTTCGGCTTATCTAAACTAATATAAAATTGGACCTCTAAAAAACGGTGAGTAGCAAATTTCACCCAGAACGGATTGACATAAAAATCTAAAAAAAAAAATCATATTAATTACTAAAATAATTAAAACTTTATATTATTAAGAAACTTGACTTGACTTGAACTTGAATTTATAGCTGACAGATACACTTTTCAACACTCACATTGGCCTTTTCGATGCGCTGAACAGCTTGCGTATGCTGTTCGTACAGCTCGGTGGTGCAAATGGCATTGGTGTCCAAAATATCGCCACTCTCATCCCGCACCACCATGTCCAGGCCGAGGAGCTTGTTGCCCGTGTCGATCTGGTTGGTGGCCTGCAGCTTCACCTTCCGCACTTCGTCCAGCGGCAGATTGCCGGAGATCAGGGCCGCCCTGTTATTGTTCAATTCGTTCATTTTTCCGCGAATTTTCGAAAAGCTTGGATTCGTGGTCTAAAATTAGCAAATATATAAAGATTAAAACTGAATCACAATTATGAATAATGTTTGAGCTCACCAGAAAGTAATTCTTGGCTATGGAACCCCACTCAAGGAGCACTTTGGTGATCTCCTCGACAATATCCGTACGCTGGATGCAGTACTCCCCATTCACGATATTATATTCGCATAAATGTATATAGCTCTTGGGAAATATGCCGCGTGTTTCCTTTGCTCTGCAATAATATGGGAAAAAGAGAAAGAGGGTAAGTTAATAAAAATGTGCCATGCACATGGGATGCAGCAGAAAAGAACAAATTGCCACTTCGTGCTTTACAAACGTCACAGTGAAAGCGAAGTTTGTGGGCCTCCCTATCTGTGCAATCAAGAATCGGGCCTCAAAGCGACGCTCCACTGTGGACACTTCATATTTACATATATGACACAATTCAACAGCCATTGCGGCTGATGAATTACCCAACCCAAGCCAAGCGATAGGGGAGCTTGAAGCACTGAAAATCGTGCACTTAGGAAATATAAGTCATTGTGGGTTTTTGAAAAAAGAATCAAGAATCAAAGATTAAATTTGAATTATGTTATAATAAACGAGCTCCCTTATGATTAAGTTTTCTGAAGAAATAGGTATATTGTATTCGTTCAATAGGAGGTGTTACATTATTTAAAACAAAACTTCCCTAACGCCTATAAAAAAGCAGTTCTAAATGCAATTAGTTGTGTTTAATACTAATCTATCATAATGTAGAAGAAATTTTTCAGATGGTATCATTCATTAAAAAGTTATGTGTAAAATATGATGGAATTCAAGCAGTGCAAGCAGTCGCTTTGCTGCATGCATATCTCCATCTTCCTTGCATTTACTTTAAGTAACGGCTATCTTATAATCGACGTTCTTTCTTGTTTTATAATTCTACTTTTTGAAACTATATTTTCCAGTGTCTGCCAGTCTGCAGAGGAAGTGCGCTCAAAGTGTGACACTGTCGGATGAAATGGAATGCTTTAATTTGGCTCAATTCGCCGCTTGACATGCGGGGTGGCCGCTTTAATTGCTCGAGGCATTCATCACTTATAGAATCAGCAGCCCACTTCCCCAGCTACCACATCTACCCCATCTCTGGGGTCCCTGAACCCCGGTCATAGTTCTACATGTATGAAAGGTATCTATCAAATTGATTAACCGTTTTCAATTGATTTCGGTGCTCGTAATTTTCGATATTTACGCTTTAAAATCGTGAGAAAATGCACAATTAAAATTGATATTTTTCTATAAACAGAAGCAGGCATTTTTGATGACTACCCACAGAGACGAAAGTAAACAGAAATTCGGGCCAAATAGGTTATCAGCATATCGAGTGTCGTTGCTCGCCTTGAATTTCTTTTTATTGCCGCGAGATAAACGAAACGCACAGTGATGTGTGGGAAATATTCTACGCAATTAAGGCAAATTAACGTCGCATTCTGGTCTTGAACTGGTTCTCTTAGGCGCGCATCACTGTGATCGGAGAATTCGTGCTTTTATTTATTTACTTTCTTTGCTACCCGTTGTATTTGTTCCACCATCCGAGATGTCTGGCTCTCGGAATCTCTGGTTCCACTTGAGATGGGGTTGTTGTTTGGGTCAGCAGAAATATGGAAAAAGGTCAGCTCCGTCAATTCGGATGGCGTTCTTCTTGTTTTCCTCGTTCTTTCGTTCTTGATAAGACGTGGTCAGCCGTCGCCAGATAAAACCGACAGAGATACAAGGAAAATAAAAAGAATCCCAAACAAACCGAATGGCAGCGAAAGGGTCAAACCATGTATAAATATTGAATGGTGGGAAGGGAAAAGAAAACTTTATCTCTTCTTTTCTTCGACGGATGTGGCATGCAACTTTGGCCGCCACATGGTGGCATCTGTTCGAGAGGCGGAGTAAAGGATGAAGGAGCGTTGGGCAAGAACGAGTGCTGTGCTGGCACAGATTTCCCCAGAAAACCCAGGCATCTTGAGGAGTAAACAAAGGCCGAACCAAATGGGCGGCGCTTGTGTACCTGATTTACGATTGCTTCACTCTCTGCCTGTGAAATATCTGTTTCAAGCATTTCCGCTTCTAAACTTTGCTGCTGTTTCTTCTGTTTTTCCGTCTGTCGATTGTCTGCTACTTTTTTGTCCGCTAATGTATGGGATGTTTCCCCAACCACCTCATGCATATGCATCAGACAAACGAGATTGCAGTGAAAGTCAGGGGAAAAGATCTAGCTGATTACTTGATTAGACAAGCTACACCGATCGAAATAATAGCAGTGCTGCATACTTTACATGGCAATTAATGGAATCTTGTGACTTATAGGATAGGTGTTACAAAGTGAATATATTTTAAACTTGTAGTAAGTTTATGTTACTTCAAATGCTACTCGAAAGTTAAACTCATCTTTTCCTATCTATACAAAAATATTTGTTTTACATAACTACTCACTTTTGCCTGTAGCCGTAGTACCAGTGGGTGGTCTCCTTCAGAATTATGACAGCATCGCCCACATCCAGATTGAGGCGATGTGGCTTCGTCTCCTGGTCGAAATTGCACTTGGCTGAAAGGAAGAAACATTTGGAAAATTAGTATAAATTTGGATTTTCACAGAGCTTAGCCTAGAGCACCTATTCCAGTTGTCAGCCACTGCGAACTGAGCGAAATCACAGCGAAATCAACGCGAATAAACGGGAGCGGAAGGTTATCAATTAGCCCATTGCCCATTCCGCCATTGAGGGGGACGCGCTGATCATCGGAAGCTGGGCTGCCGCTATCTGTGCACCCGAGCGGATGGGATATTTGATAAACCCAAGCCCACCGCCTCCTCTCACCCCTGAACCCCCACCAGAATCTGGGCTACCATTCCATTTCATACGTGAGATCTAATATAAAAATGAAACCCCGCTTTGGGCAATTTCCTCGAAACCCGACTGCCGCCGATAAGAATTGGATGTCTGACGGGGAACTGCAAATGACGCACTTGCATTGGAAATGAAAACCGATATCGCAGCAAGAAGTCGGAAATGTAACTAGGCATCCCGGAATCCGTTTCAGTCGTTCAGATAAGTGGTCTAATTTTAAATAAGTCGCAAAAGTAATGCAGTGGATTGGTCAAGAAATATTTCTTGGAAATATAATACTTTCCTATCCGAAATCTAAGAAATAGTAAGATAGATAGTACAAACCATATCTTCGCAAACGAATTTTCTAAGAATTTCGAAATTTGTTTTTCTTTTTCACTACTTTCTTTAAAATATTTTTAGTTAGTGTCTTGAAGAAAATCTTAGGCCTAAATTTATTTTATAGTAATTGCTACACCTTTGTGAGGTAAGTGAGTAAGTGAGCTCATGGCTACAAGTAATAAATATTTAGCAAATAGTAATTACGGCATGAAGTGAGATTTCACCGCAACACTACAGTAAACAATGTTGCTTAAAAATTAATCAAATCATCTTGTAAAAACCCCTTTCCATCACTCCCTTAGGAGTAGTGCCTTCGGTTTTCCCCGCATGAGACATAATGGGACATAACATCGTCGCCAAACAAACTTCCTTCTTCCCTTGATAGTGCAAGTTTCTGATATAAGCATATAGCGCATATATGTAGTTATGAACACACAAATGTGCACCCCCCATAAAATAAAATCCAGCGCCGCCAGCCAAGCACAAAAGATACCAAATCCAAGTTGAGCCGCCTTCGCGTGGCACGCTCCGGGTGGTGGTGGTGCTGCCGCTGATGATGGTGGTAATAGTGGTGCTGGGACTGCTGGATGTGGATGTGGTAGTGGTGGTGGTGGAAGTGCCGATGGCGACTGCGTAACAGAAGGGGAGCACCGGAGCGGCAGAGGCGCGAGTTACGGTCCAATGACCGATGCTCGCGATGTTCGCGCTGCCCGATCTCGATGGAAAGCATAACAAGCGAGAACGACCTCCACAGCACATTAAGAGCGACAGCGGCAGCAATTCGCAAAAGGTATTCATTGCCGCTGCTGTTGTGCCCCAAACAACAGAGGTCAAAACATTGGCTTTAAAACCCCTGCCCACCAACTCAAAAATTTCTTTTTCAGCTGGGTTTTAAAATATAAATCATACAAAACCATCATGAGTAAACGGAAATATTTTCTGGAATAGTTCCCATGAGGCCTAAAAATTTTAAAAAATTATTTCGACGCTTTATTACTTTTCAAGTAGTGATGGTGTAAACCCAAATGTGAAAATGCTATAATATATTTAATAATTATTTTCAATCCTATTTTTTTAACCGCAATTGTATGTGTCAAATGGTTTTATCTGCTATTTTTTTGCGCTTTGCATTTTATTTCGTCTGTCCAATTGCGTGGAAAGTTAACTTGGAGTGGGACTGGGTCGATTGCGAAAACCAGTTGAGCTGGCCGCTCCAGAAGAGCTTTCCCAGCTGGGAAAGTTTCTTGGGAAGTGCGTAAATACAGCTCCAATAGACTGTTATCAAACTGATTGGATTCACTTATAATATCCACTTATTTCCACTTCTCAAAGCTATTTATGCGCAAGTTAAATAAATACTCGGAAATGACAATGAATCATCCGACGGCGACGCCTACGCCAGCGTCGCTGCTGCGGTCAAGCAATCAGTCACTGGGAACGGCACACCTATAAAGCACCAGAAACAGAACCCCTGAGGGGGTTGAGTTCAAGAACGATCGAAAACGTCATTAAATCGAGCCCATTTCCTTTCCTCCGGTTTGCCGATAAGCGAAACAAAGCCTATCCCAAGACCCTTTTTTCTCCTCTCTGCTGCAGCGACACAAACTTGTTGACTAACGGAAACAATCATAAATAATGAAATGCACAAGTTGTTCGGCTATAAATACCAGAGATCGGAGAAGGGGGAGTCACGGATCAATGGCAGTGGGAAGGAAAAAGGGTTCGTACCAATGGAGAGAAAACACAGAACAGTCAGCACTCAACAGGCAGCCAGGTAAACCAAACAAAATAGGTACAATGCAGGGAATTATTTTTAGAAATGCACAGGGAAAAACTATTGAATATTGAATTTTGTGTGCCAGCGTTCCTAGCTTAAATGTAATCATATTTTTCTTCAGTGCATAGCTCCAACGGATGCAGCTGCACCTGGAAAAGGGAGATGTTAAAGTGGCCCCCAGCACGTGAACAAAGTGTGCCCTTTTCTTTTCCTCCGACCAACCGAAACCCCCTTCGGTTTATAGTTTGCTAAAAGCTAGATAAAAGCAAAAGCCAAAACAATAATAAATCGCAGTCCATAAAGCAACGTGAATATATAAAATAAACCGCAGTTGAGGCGCTTCGTCATCAATTGGTGTCGAAGTTGGCGTCGTGACTGGTGACTGGACAGTAAAAAAAAAAAGTGAAACAAAAACTACAACAACGTGACAACGACAGCCACAACTTGGCTCATTTCAAAATCTCTGGCTTAAATAGCACGCGGCTCAGAGAAGATTCTTTATGGCTATATATGATCATACACATATGCAAATTTGCTCCACACATTAAGGCATTTTTTACTCTTTTTTTTTCTATATAGAAGCGGGTTTGTTTGACGCTCTCTATTGCTCGGGGTAGGAGCTTTTATGAGCTAAGCCCCTAAAGCGGTTTCTATATATAAACATTTTCCTATATATACGTTTTTAATTGCCCAAAGCCTGGGGAACAATTTTGAGGGTTAATTATAATGATTCTCGTTGGTTAAGATGCTCTGGCATTGACTAATTACGATTGGTAGAGAAGATCTCTAAAACGGGGTGAGGTGAGATTAATATGGATACGAAAAATTCAACACTTGTGTGTACGGAATGGGGGAGTGCACGATGGGAGTTCTATTGTTCAATTTGAATTTTTCAAGTGCTGAACAGATACATATGCGGCTAATTGAAGACGTTGAGAGGAATTTATAATTACGTATTGTGAATTAATTATATCGGATCCATTGCAGTAGATTCAAAACAAAAATCCAATTACTGGTTTGTTTATAGTGCACTGACTGAACATATTTAAATACGATATCTTAACCCCACCCAAACTAGACAATTAATAGTTTAACATTTTTTCGGTCTAACATTCTATGTTCTTAAAATGTTTAATATAATGTTTATACTCAGTAACTCTTTATAATATCATACAATATTTCGTTAGCATACTTATAAATTTACTTATAAGTAATTTGGAATTTGAAACGCGATTGCTTTGGCGTATGTATAACATTATCTTTTTAGGTAAATATTCCCTTTCTATCTATTTCTGTCAAATTTTTGGGCTTGCCAAAAAGGAAATATTCAACAAGCGTGCAATACATACAACTGGGTAAACCTGAAACCAAAATTATACGTCGCATACTTATAGGGCACAAGACACAGCCCCTTCCATCTTGGACTCCTAGATAATATTTGATGGGACATAAATTCATAAAAATACTTGCGCAACCTCTTCGAGCGTCTTGCCCGTTGACAGTAACGGTTAATGTCGTTGCGGTCGTAAAAAGTATCCAGAAACAAATTAGAATTAGAATCCAAACAAAAAGAATGTTGAAAAAAAAAAGAACGTTGTTATTACGGGGCAGAGCCATAAAAAATTGCGGAGCAACAAAAGAAAAAAGAGGAAATGTAAACACAAACTTGACCCATTTGAGACATCTGAGAAAATCACTTAAAAACAATCTAAAATTGGTTTTATGACTTTTTGAACAAGTAAGGTTAACTGGTCGGATAAAGAAAAATTGTTTCCTGAAAATAATTATATCAATATTGTAGTAATAAGAACTATGTAAGCAACTACTATTAGTATTAACATGGCCAACGTAGTTTTAAGTTAATTATGTTATGTTATTTGTGTAGCCCTGGATATGTTATGTTGTGCTATCCCTGGTTTGTAAAAGTCACGAGAGTATCTTCCATCCCTGGAAGGCACGAAGAAAAAAGAGGAAGAGGATTCGAGAAAAAGCGTGGCTGGTGATCGGATGTGAATAACCGAAAATAAAACTATACTATACACTACTTGTTTAAATAAAACTACAAAGACACCATACTATAATTCAGAAGTGGTAACTGAACCTAACCAAGTTATATTGGAATAGGAAAATATTAAAATGGCTACACGCATTAATCTCGGCGAACTGAAATTAGTGGAAATCAAAAGTTACTGTGACAAATTTGGTTTATCCACAAAAGGAAACAAAGCCGCACTAATTGCGCAACTAAATGCTGTACTACCGTCTGAAATTGCTCCGGAGTTGTACTACGAAAAGGTGGAGTCTACAGGCGAAATTGGTGCTGAGATGACTGGCGCCAATCCGGCCAACAACAACAACGAAGAACAGGATGGCGAGATGGCTGTCGCCAATGCAGCCAGCAACAACAACGAAGAACAACGCAAAGAAGAAGATGAAGACGTGTTCGGCAACGAACTTAAACTTGTCGAGACAGTTGATCGTGATGGCGTTCAACTAGAAGGAAATGGCGTTCAACCAAGTGCTTCAACCTATGGCGTTCAATCAAGTGCTTCAACCTTTGGAGTTCAACGTAATCCAGGTGGCAACGCTGTGGGAATGGAA